ATTGTTGATAATTTTTTCCAGAATTTTGGACATAACTGGTAGAATGGATATAGGCCTGTAATTATTTACACTGTGTCTGTCACCACCCTTAAAAATTGGATGAACTATTGCCCTTTTAAATACTTCAGGAAAACAGCCCGTCGATATGGAACAGTTGCATATATGGGTCACCGCAGGCACCAATGATGACCGACAGCTCCTCAAGATCCTCGCCGAGATACCGTCCCAACCAGCTGCCGCATCCGTTCGAAGCCCAAGAATCAAACTTTCCACTTCGGCATTGTCTGTCGGTAAAAGTACCAAGGAGCCAGATGGTCCAGGTTCAGACAAGGGTACAGTAAATGAGGACGCAGAGCTAAAGGCCTGCGCTAATCTTTTACCAGTGTTTGCAAAGAACTCATTTACCCTATTCAACGATTTGTTGTTATCTGAAGCTATATTTAGAAGTTCTGAAGGTGATGAGATATTACGATGTGTAGAGGTAATTGATTTAATAACTTTCCATGTAGCTTTAGGATTCTTCTGGGCTTTAAGGAATTCCGCTCTCTCAAACTCCCTCCTCACACCTCTTATAAGCTTATTGCAAAAGTTCCTATATCTTACGTATGTCACTTTGAGAACATAGTTACCAGGGTCATTTTTAGATTTTTGACATAAATTGTCCCTATTACGAATACATCGGAGCAAACCCCTTGTAATCCAGGGCTTAATTATACGATGTTTAGATGGAATTTTTATCAATTTGGAGTGTTTAGTAATGATAGAGGTAATTCTGTCAGTTAGTAATTCGGCAGCTAGATTTGCGTCCGTAATATTTAAAATTTCACTTTGGTCAGTCGCTGAAATCTCTGTGATGACCGCCGGATGATCGATTTTAATGCAACTTAATGAGGATTTTGGGAGTATATGGTTCCACTCTATGTTGATTATGGTAGGTTTATGATCAGTAATATAAGTGTCTACGACTAATGATGTCGATCTCATCCCTGACTTTAAAAATACATGATCGAGGCAAGAGTTGCGATGTGTTGGTAATAGATGTGACGGTAACAGGCTATGAGCCGCAGTTAAATTGAGGTACTCATGGGCCTGTTGATTAAGATTTCCTGCCGATATGTCTATGTTCATGTCACCCACAAGAAGAACATTTTCACTACTTGAAACTGATGCAAAAACGTCATTTAAACCATTTAAGAATATTTCGATATTACGTACAGAGGGAGAGCGATAAAGTGCCACGACAGATAGTCTAAATTGCTTCAGATGGCATATCAAACAACTAGCGTCTGACATCAGTGGTTCTGAGATATTATGTGTAAGAATACTCTTGACAAAAATTATAACACCATCATTTTGGTTTTTAGGGTTACTAGAATTGTACGATACATAGTCATCCAGTGCGGGAATTATGGAGCATGAATTTAGCCAACATTCGGATAAAATTATCAAGTCGCAAGATATATTGAGACTACTTAAAAACACCGTCAAGTTATCAAATTACAGTTTACGCTTCGAATATTTAGCTGCATGAAAGTTAAGGACTTTGTTGAGTTTTTGATATATTTCAAGCATTGCTCTGGCTTACAGCTATAGGCATCGACCCCGCCGTATGAGTCAATTTCCTTCAACATGTCCAGATCAAGCATTATAAAAGAACATCACAGTCCGAATCGGGTTGCCACATAGTATGATTAAAAATAAAATAAAAGGCAGCCGCATTATTAGGCGACGCTTAAAGACGTTAGTAGTAACGCTATGTTGTATCTGTATATTGTGTGAAGCAGTGTAGCTTGAATATAATATGTCTATTACATCCAGTATCCACCGGTATATTTTGTTACGAAGTGATGATATATGTTTTGTGTGTACAGTAGTGTAAATGGTGTAGTGATATTGAAATTTAAATAAGCGTGTTGTTATATTGTAACATATTAACTTGAAGTATGCATAGTACGCTATAGTTTGTTTGAATGGGCCTAGGTACATGAGGTTTATAAGAGATTTGATATTTACACAATTAAAAGGCTTGAAGAACTTACTACATTCAGTAACTAGTCAGAGCTTATTTAAGATATCATGAAGATTTTTTTCGTTTCTAATTAAGATCTGTTTCTCACCCTCCTTCCGCCGAAGAAATATATTGCCATGGGAAACCCAGCAGAATTGAAAGCCATTTTTCTTTGCAAAATCACGTGATGTATAGAATAATTGTTTTGTACTTAATGGTAGTTGTTCAGCAATATATACAGGCTGTTGTTTCCCCGGTATCCCAATTAATTGCGTGTTAATTTTATCATCTCTTGGTTTAGTTTTATTGAAGGACCGAACAGCAGCCACCAACTGCTGCCTTGTCTGCACAGTTTAGAATTCAGCAATTAGCGGTCGCGAAGAAATTGCATCCGTAGGCTTTCCCGGCAGACGATATACGTCACGAAAGTCGGATGCAGAAACATTCATTCCAACGATCTCTGCAATGTTGGTTACTGTTTGAATGAGACTTGCAGTAGTCTCGGCCTCTTTATAAGGTATGTTGCGAATTTCAACACATGACGAGCGAGTTTTTACTTGTAAATCATTGATCTTTTTTTCCAGACTTTCAATATATATTCTCTGCTCTGTACGTTCTTTCTTCAGGTTTTCTATTTCTTTTCTCATCTCTTCAAAATTTTTATTCATAAAGGACATTGACTGAACTATGTCGCTGTTTGATTTGCATATTTCTGTGTTAATATCGTCGTTGAACAGGGGTAATTATTTAGAAGTAGTAGATTTATTAGCCAAGTATGATGGAGTTTTAGAAACCCATTTACAGAGTGCAAGTACCTCATTCAAGGGAATGTCGAACCGTACGCAGAATGATTTGATCTCGAGCGTTGCATCTGTGATGATCGATCGCGTTAAAGCCGAAATTAAACAGTCCGATTTTGTCGCCGTCATGGTAGATGAGACTCCTGATGTTAGCGGCCGTGAACAATTACTATTTTATTACTTATTATTACTATTATATTTTGAGATATTTTCGTGATTCTGAAGTAGTAGATCGATTTATCAAATATGTTGATGTCAGCGCGGATCGGACCGCTGTAACCTTGAGTTCTATAATTTTGGAAATTTTAGAAGAGTTCGATTGTGTATCCAAATTAGTTGCACAAACTTATGACGGGGCAGCAGTTTTATCCTCACAAATTAATGGCTTGCAGGCTTTGGTGAGACAAAAATGTCCACAAGCTATGTACGTTTGGTGTTCAGCACATATATTAAATTTAGTTTTATCGAAATCGTTCGAACGAGTTGCTGAAACAAAACGCTTTTTTAGTATTATAAAATCAATCGCGGCTTTTTTTCACACCAGTACAAAGCGAATGACCCATTACAACAACTTTGCCGATATGAAAAAGGTGCCTCGTGTCGCGGAAACGAGGTGGACATATCACCCGCGCACGGTTAATGTAATTAATAATGCATACACCACCTCCATATAATATAAACAATTCACAGAAAATATGAACGAAAATACACAAGACTGGGATGGTGAAACACTGACACAGGTCAGCTCAGTCCCCCTCCACTGAGCGTTCCCGTAACGCGAACAAATTTACTTCGATATGCTCCTATATCACGCGCCATAAGGCTTATTAATATTATTTCAATACAAGTAGATATCTACAACTGTAGCCTGCCGTACTTCAAAGAAGTCGCACAGAGATGTATTACAGCAAATGATTTTTATATATAAATAACTGTTACTTACTGTTTTTACTTACAGTATCGTTTTGGGATAAATCCTGTAAAGACACTGTAATTGTTTTTAATAAATAAATAAATAAATAAATAAATAAATAAATTTTTATTTATTATGAAAGAATTTGAATTTAATTTTCTTTTAAAATCTTTCGCAGATATTTTTGCAGAAACGGATATTCTGTACGATATTTTGCAAAAAAAAAGTAGTGACATCGCGTATTGTGTAACAAAGATAAAAGAGTTAGAGTCATTTTAAAATGATGTAAAAATACATTATCGGCGAATTTTTGTTGAAATAATTGATAATGTAGTCAATGAATACTATATAAAAACATTAAAGATTTAAAGTTTATTGTGAGAATTTTAAAAAATATAGTGAACGTTTCGCTGAAAATGAAATCAGAGAGTTCACTAATAATTATCAGGCAAATTTTAATTTTGATAAATGAATTGCGCTGTATTTATAGATCACCTCAATTTGCAAATAGTTGTGTATTTAGTTTTATTCAAAATTTGTACAACGACAATTTAAATAAAGTTTTTTCTGAAGTGTTACGATTAGCGAAATTCGTTGTGACTATCCCAGCAAGCAGCGCATCGGCAGAGCGTTCATTTTCGTGTTTAAAACGTATCCATACATATTTGAGAAACACACAAAATTAACAACGACTCACAGAGCTTTAAATGATTTCTATAGAAAAAGCATTAATGATAGAATTAAAACGCAATCCAACTTTCTATGACGATATCCTAAAATCATATTTAAAAAAGGATAGGCGCATAGATTTAATCTATAAATGAATGAGTAGTTTGATTTTTTTACTAATCCGTAGTTTTATTATTAAGTTTATTTATATATTTTGCGAATCACGTGAAAATCGGCCCTTTTAAAGGCCACATCGGATATCTTGCAAGGGACGTGTTCTGTAACTATCACTCACTTGGAAAAGATATTTGAGGCGGCAATCTTTTATTTACATCGGGATATATTAATCTCCAGTAACCGGAACCTTGAATATGTGAAAATCAGAAAATTGAAGATGACCAGGTGAGTAGTTATAATATTTTAGCTTATTATTTTACTTATTAGAATTTCTTCCGCCGCGACGATCTATCGCTGTTTTGTCTGCGTTCCCGTTGAAGATGTACATGAATAGAAGTACATCTAAGACTTGTGCTAAAAATCTATAAAAGAAAAAGTGACCGACTACTCCGCCGCATACCTAGTGTCATAATCCTGTGCACGCCGCTGATCATCAACATACATATATGCCTATTAACATCATTCGCTCACCTTTTAGCGCAACAAACACACAAGGATCTTGTAGCAATGCTTCAAAACCAATATCAATCAACAGCTTGGATAACCTTTTATACCACTGTAATCCTGATTGGCGTAAGCCATACAATGACTTTTTTAATAGACACACACTATCCACACATTCATCAAGACCCTTGTTCCAGCGTTTAGCTGTCTGAAGTATGTTCACTTCTGTTATTATTGCCTTCTGCGAACCAATCTTCCTTTTAGCGAGTACTCTCTTTAGAACATCGCTCCGCTGATCTGGAATTTCCATAAAAACTTCTTCTTCTAGTGTTCCATTCAGGTAAGCTGTTACTACGTCCATTTGATGGATTTCTATTCCAAACTCTGCGGACAAAGCAGCTATGACTTTTATGGATGACGATCTTACAACAGGGTGTAACAGTTATTTTTTTAGTATATTTGTATTGCATACGGAGTTGTAAAAAGCGACATCTATTGCCTGCGTCGCATTTACTTGATTTATCCAAAGTAGTTTATAACTATAGTATTGATGTTCTTCGTTCGCCGTCGGCGTTTGTTTTGTAGATAAGTCATTTTAGTAATTTATCATGACAAATTGTATAGGTGTTAAAAGTGTTTTGTTATGGTAGGAAGCGAGTTACTTTTGATTTTGTTCGTGTTGACTTCGTTGATAATTTAAATGTCAAATTAAAATGTTAAGTAGGGATTCTTTCTGGAAACTTCACAAACCGAACATATATAAGTCCGGCTTTCAGCCACGGGGGACACTCTGCTAACTCGTGTCTTCCAATCTTGAATAGTGTTTTGATTGTCTTGTGATTTTATTTTCGTAATATATTTTCTGTTCAAAGTACCCACAAAAGTGGTGAGTATATTCTTAATTTTTCTTGTACCTATTTGTTTCTGGAACCTGAGCAATAATATGAGTGCTAATCCATTCGTAGGGTCCCAGATTTCGGGTCAAGACGAGCAGTCTCAGACGGCGTGCTTGTTCATTTGTGGCCTTCTGGTGCGAATTCAAGTTTCTCGGTAACCTCTGGCAAACTGACAGTCACGCGGCTCACAAAGCAAGCGGACAGCCGTACTCAAGGGTTACGTACTTCTCGTTAACTTTGTTAATATCAATCGTGAACTTTCCTCAATACCTAATATAAATAGCCGACTCGGGCGGAAGGGGGAGTGACCTCCTGGAGTGAAGACGAGGAGGCTCCGAGCACCATCAGCTCGGCTCTGACGCGCGCCGCTGCGGTTTTTTTTTATACCCACTGATTAATTTATTTATTTTTTTATTGTAACTTTTTTTTTTTGAAATATACATGTATGTATGACTGAGGTGTAAGTTGTTTTCCTCTAAGGAATCCCGTAGGTTTCCCACACGCACACACTTCTGTTCTCATACAAGGCGCCCTTAGGTAATCTCGTGAATCTCTCCACTGGGTCAGCCGGTGAGTAGTCCGCCTGAGAAGAATAGCGGTTACAAGGGGACGAGGTTTCATGAAAGTCCTCCCCTGGCCGCTGTGAACATCCCTTGGCGACTAGACGTACTTTCTTGCCAGTACTTTTGGTGCTAAAAACAAATCTACTTCCAATAACCTTTCGGTCTTTAGGTCGTGGTACAATCTCTCAGGTTTCGTTTTTTATCTGAGACAAATACTCGTTTTCTAGAGCAGATTTCCATTTCCAAGTCACTTCTCTTCTTTATATCTTTCCACGTCATTGGTTCTATGATCGCTATCCCTGCACTTATCTGATCGGCTGGTTCATCGAATTCACTTTCACTATTTGAAGTATTCTCTTTCAGCGTATGCTACTCTTTCCGCGGTGTTCCCGCCTGACCAGTACGAACTAGGCGAGGCCTTCCTCTTCCTCTTTTAGAAAGTTCTATCAATTTTTCCCACGAAACAGTTGAGTTCCTGTTTCTATGCGATTGAGATTGATTGCGATCTTTTTAATAGGCTCGTGGAAATCAATTCTCATGTCTAAACGCTGTCTCATTCATAAATTTCACGTCACGAGTCACAACAATCTTTCTTGTTATAGGGTCATGTATTCTGGGGTGCTAGGCTAGAAAACCTCCCCGTGGTGCACCTTGGAAACGCTGGCGATGGCACTGTTTCCTCCTTGTCCTCTTGGAGGAGAGGATTATCGCCAGCGGCTAATATTCTAGCAGAAGAGGAAGCCGTTCATCGGCTCTCGGGCAAGGCCTGGTCCAGCAGGGTGGGCGTGTCTGCCGGTTGCCCTGCTGGCTCTTCGCTCTTCGGAGCATGGAGGAGGAAACCTCGGTAAAAAAACCAGGCCCCACGGCCCTGTAGGGGCCAGTTTCTCCGCTGATAGCGGTGGAGAAAGGAGGACGGGCTCGGCGTGTACTGACACTACCACCGAGCAGGCAGGGGGACGTAGTCTCCCTGTCACCGTCGGCATATCGTAATCCCGAGAAGAGCGCTGTGGTCAAGTCTCGCGGCTCTGATCGGGGGCGAGGGTCTCGGCTTAACCGCCCGGACCGCGAGGATGTAAACCTCTTTAAAAAATTCCCCGAATCCCGTGTTCTGGTGCGAGACCAGGGGATGCATGGCTGATGGGTAGTTCAGTCGTAAGCGCACTCCCAGCCGGGGCACTCGCGGACCCCTCGGTTGGGCATAAATTTACGCTTGCCCGGGTATTGGGGGATCTCTGCCCGGGTGGACCTTTACTTCTCCCCCACTCGTGGGTTCAATTATGGGAAATGATGACACAAACTCAAACAAATCGATCGGATCTAAAAAAACAACGACAAAGGCGAGCAAAACGGAAACGGTTAGCAACAAGGAGAAGGAGGAGTTGAAGAGGAGAAGTGGTGTAGTGGATCTGGCGTCCGCCGAGGGTGAGGCGATGTTGGGAACGCCTATCTCGGTGGGGCTCCCAGTAGTAGTCTGTAGTAGACTGACTGCTGGGAGCCGAAGATCGGAGCGCTTGCGCTCCAAATCTGCCACTACTGGCGTGGGTGAAGGCCCCAGCGAGAGGACGAACAGCTCGGAGCGCATGGAGGTGGAAGCGGGACCGAGCGAGAGCCGCAAGAGGGAACTCTCGAGGGATGGGGAAGAACACCGTAGTACAAGGCGGCCGTATAGGGAGGTCGCATACCCCTGTCCCCGTCCCGTCAGGCTCCGCCTTCTCCAAGGCGGATGCCTACAGACGGGTACGAGCGGACGGCGAGGCTGCAGCGGAGGAGGAGATCGCGGGTCTCCTGCTCAAGATTCGGGAGCCGGTGGAGGGAGACGCCCCCAGGGCTCCCGTGTCTGTGCAGGAGAGGGCGAGGGCGGCGGTGGCTATCGTCCAGAAGGTAGCCACCAAGTCAGTTAACCTTAAGGGCTCTTTTGTGAGGGCCCTTAAGGACTCCTCCTCCGCTATGTCGGAGGTCGTGGAGGGCCTAGTAGGCGACGTGTCTCGCCTACAGATGGCCAATGACAGGCTGACGGAGCAGGTGAACGCACTGAGCGCTCAGTTCGCCCGCTTCCGGGCGAACCTCCCCGAGCGGGGGGCCCCGTCCACGCCTCAGCCTGTCCCTACCGCGACCTCAGGGGTGCCTGACGCCCAACTGCGGTCAGTTCTTGACGCGGTTGGGCGTATGCTGGACGGCCGTCTGGCCGGTCTGGAGGCGAGACTGCCCCCTGCGCCGGTCGTGCGCCCCCCGCTCGCGTCGTCGCAGCGGCCTAAGGCTGCTGCTCCGACTGCGCTCCCTGTTATGGGAGGCCGCGTGTCATACGCGGCGGCGGCGTCGGCGTCGGCCCCGACTCCACCACCGGCTCCCCAGGGGCCGAGAAGAGCGGCCAAGGCACCGGCCCAGGCGCCAGTCAAGGCGCCGGCCCAGGCACCGGCCAAGGCGCCGGCCCAGGTGCCGGCCAAGAGTAAAGCGGCGAAGAGGAGCGGAGTGGCTTTCCCTCCGCTCCCCGCTCCGACATCCCTGCCGGGCCCCTCCGCACCTGCCCCCTCCAACGAGGGTTGGCAGGAGGCAAGGGGCTCAAAGAAGTCCCGAAGGCGAGCTAGAAGGGCTGCTCAGAAAGCAGCCCAAGCCCAGCCTTCGCCTCCGGTGGCAACGGCCTCAAAAAAGAGGCCGCGGAAGCTGCAGCCGCCCAAAACGGCGGCTGTAGTAGTGACGCTGTCGCCGGAGGCGGCCAGTGGCGGGCTCACGTATGCGGCCCTCTTCAAGGGGGCCCGGCCCGGTCTCGCCACTGAGTTCGGGGAGGCGGGGATGAGGCTGCGCCGCGCCCAGACGGGAGCTCGGGTTTTCGAGTTCCCTGGGGCGGAAGGCGCGGCGACGGCCGACAAAGTCGCCGAGAAGTTGCGGGGAATTTTCGCCGCCACGGACGGTGTTAAGATCGCCAGGCCCACCAAATGCGCGGAACTGCGCATCTCGGGCCTGGACGACTCCATAACGTCGGAGGATGTCCGCGATGCAGTCATGGAGAAGACTGGGTGCACCGCGGACACCATCAGAGTCGGCACCGTCCGTCCGGGTCCGGGAGGCCTCGGTGCGGTGTGGGTGAGTTGTCCCGTGGCGGCGGCCAAAGCGTTGGGCGACGCCGGAAGCATGCTCGTCGGCTTCGTGAATGCCAGAATCACGGTTCTGGCCGCGAGGCCGATGAGGTGCTTCAAGTGCCTAGCCGCGGGACACACTCGCACCAAGTGCGAGAGTTGCTTTGACTGCAGCGGTTTATGCTTCCGCTGCGGTCAACCCGGGCACAAGGCGGCAGAGTGCTCTGCCGCCCCTCACTGCCCCGTGTGTGCGGCGGCTAAAAGGCCCGCCAATCACCAGATGGGGCAGGGGGGCTGCAAGCCTCCCCGCGCTTCTCGGCAAACGCCGGGGTCTAGCCTGCCGACCCAGGCTACCCCCGACGTCAATATTGCGTCGACGCCGACGCCCATGGAGGAGGTTGTAGAGACGATCCAGTAATGGATCAAGTCTCCAACCTCCTGGTCCAGACGAATCTGAACCACTGTGCTGCGGCGCAGGATCTCTTCCTGCAAACCATGGCACAGTGGTCGATAGGTGTTGCCGTAGTCGCGGAGCCCTATTTTGTCCCTCCCCGTCCAAACAGGATGGGTGACCGGGACGGCTCCGTGGCAGTCGTCGGCTCCACGGCTGCTCATTCCCCGCCCTTGTCGCTAAGAGACAAGGGTACTGGATATGTTGCCGCCGATTGGGGGGGAATCACCATTTATGGTGTATATTTCTCCCCCAACCGGAGCTTGAACGACTTCGAGGTCTTCCTTAACAACTTGGAGGCCTCGATGCGGCGACTAGTGTCTGGGCACGTCCTCGTGCTGGGGGACTTCAACGCAAAGTCCATTGCGTGGGGTTCC